ACATAGAGCCAGAGCTTATACACTTTAATGAGGAAATGTTACATATTATAACTTTAAAAGTAGGTGTGTTTCTCCTTCCGACCAGAAATGTGGGCTCGACATCGTCCAAAGAATGCTCCGAAAACCCAAATAATGCCGACATATTCCACACGTCTTAATCAGAAAATGCTCTGTTCAGAATGAGGCCTAGTTAGAAATGTGCTGACCCATCAAATGCAGCTAAAGGTCACATTTTAAATAATTAGTGTGCCTGTAAACGTAGTCAGTTTTCTGTGTTTGAGTTGAATCCTCAGTATTTAAAATGTAGGTATGGTCCTGGGAAAGGCTAATTTTAACTGGGTGGGTGTAGCTTTGGCTATGATGCGACACTGTTTGGGGTTTACTGGCTGATTAACAGCTTGATTTTTACACCTGTGCCAAACACCCGAGTGTGTGCCAACCTGCATAGGAACAGCCCTCTCTCTTAGCCTGTCTCTGTTTAAATGCGGACTAACAGACACTTTGTGGGCACTTTGAGGAAATAAGCTGTTGTTATGGAACTAAAGCAGCCCTTCATACACTATAACCTGTGCATGTTTACAGTATTTATTACCAGATGCTTTTACATAAGACTGTAGCCTCATTTAGCTGCAGAGCTAACTGAGTAGCACTTTGTAAATAAATAGTATGAGAAATTGTAATATTTCCGACCAGTAAAAATATCCAGTTATTTTTTCTCTTCGCGTTGTCATGGAGACAGAACTGACCCACAATGAAGCCAAGAATGCACATAAATCGCGCGGGGGTTTTTTAGGATAAAGCTCGGCTCGAAAGGTTCAAAGCGGCGACTCGTCTGAACTTTGCACCAATCAGACAGCGTCTCTGCGTAGAGGTGAGGTCAGGTGGAGTCAGGCTCACAGGTGGGGGAGGAAGGGAGGGTCCTGTCCTCCGTCCCCCGCTCACACCTTCACTCCACCCACTCCTGTACTGTATGTAGCATGCCTGTTTACTAATCACATTATGCAAAAGAAATGGTCCCAGCTCGATGTACGAATCCCAGCTTCCCTGATTTCCGCTATGGTTGTGTACTCGTACACGGTTTTATCGTATGGAATTTGCTTGCGCTACCTCTCAGAGTTGCCTACAGTGTTTTATCAACTGCGCCTCACATTGTTTCACTTTGATGATTTTAAGGGACTGTTAAATCTCTTGTGCTATCGTTTGTATTTTTGCTCTGTGGGGTTTACTATTTGAGAGTTTAACTGCTGAGGTTCTAATTATGATATTAATGTGCAGGATTTTTAATTGTGAACACATTCCCACAAATCTATAGTCGTCATCTCTAATTCAACTGGCACAAGTTCTGTAAATAAGAGTTGTCGAGTTGTCTTAGACTAAGAAATGAACAGTTCTGAGGAAGATTTTTGGTAATCAGCAGAGACGTTCAAACATTTAGTGAAACCCTCCTGAGACGATGGATTTTATTTGGATATATTTTATATGAAATTGAACTCCAATGTGGGAAAACATTTTCATGTAAATTCACAAATAATCTCAAAATAGGAAACGTTTTCGTAAAGTTAGCCACAAGTTACAGTCAAGAGTGAACAGTGAACTAAGTAGGCGGTTGTTGTTAATCCAACGTGATGGAAACTAGCTAGCTTAACTTAAACTGTGTCACGATAGCATACGACATACTAACTGTAAATCTGTTATGATATACTGTTTATACATTAAGTATGAAAGAAAATCAACCTACTTAACATTGTGTACAAACAATGGACGAAGTTATTCTCTTAACTAATGCAAAATTGTGGAAACTAGCTAACCTAGCTTAAGCTGTGTCCCAATTGCATCCTACAGATCTTAAATTAGTATAACAAACCCTTTATCATTGTGTAGGCTATTGTTGTTATCTTAGCTAATGCAAAGTGGTGGAAACTAGCTAGCCTAAGCTGTGTCATATTACACACTTATTATAAATCCTAATTATCAAAGTATACTGTTTTTACAGTTAGTATAAAAGAAAATCAACACTTTACATTGTGTACTAACAGTGAGCCGTGTGGAACAGACGGACATGACAACAGACCAACTTTAAAGTTAGTATGAAAGTTGGATTTGACAGATAATTTGGAGTTTGAGGCTGTTAGCTGACTTTATAAAATGTCTAAGAGTAAGATAACGAATTACAGAAACAATATTTTTAAATAAGATGCTATAGGCTACTTACGAGTAGATATTAACACTTTAACGATTGATAATATTGTACTCGTAATAAGTAAACTGATTTGGCTCAACACTAATCAATTCTACAACATAAATGATCAAAATGATAAATCTGCTTCTGAACAACTGTGTGTTTAATATTCAAATTTAAGTTTATGCTCATGTTCTAACAATCAATAACAAACTCTATAATCAATTTATATTTACTTTCTTATTATATTGTTCAATGCCTCAAAGGGAGTTACCGTCCCATATTCCTAACCAACCCACTCTCAAGGAAAACTAAAAGCACAAAATAAAATGCATGAAGACTAACAAATGTGCACGAATGAATAAATTGTGGGACTGAAAAATTAAATAGTTTGTTAAAAACCACTTGGATCAGTTTAGTTTTGACTGCAGAGATCCACACGTATACTTTGGATTTACCCATTGAATGTTATCTTTAACAACCATTTTAAAATGCTATATTCTGTTACTTCACCTCATATTAACTGTATTAATTTAAGCTTCAAGATTTAATGATTTTTCACAATTATTTAAAATAAAATTGAGAACAAAACGAGGAGAGACAGAAGATAATAAAGGTGCAATAGGAGCTGTAGATGTAGTAATAATTAAAATATATGGTTGTTGCACAGATGAATAATGGATCTATTATCAGTTCTATAAAGTATACCAGTAAATGTAATATAGAGAGATATAATATATAGAGAAGCTTTGTGCTGGAAATCTTCCGTAGGACTTCTCATTTCCCTCAGTCTACTGTACCTGCTGTATAGATGCTGTATTTATGAAGCCGGTTCATTTGATGTTCACATTTTAATTTCCTCCTGACGGAAAGAAACTAATCTTCTTGTGTTTCTTCTTGTTTTTTCCCCCACTTTTGTTCATTATTTTCATTTCTTTTGTAAATGCTCTTTTGACACCTGATCTTTGTATTTTTATATTTCTATTCCCATTCTCTTGATCTCTTTTGTATGATAATCTCCTGTTTGTGACGCTCAGTATAACCTGCTTCCTGCTTGGTTGTGTTTTTTTAAATGGCGAGGTGTGGGGACGCTGTAAGCATGAGCAACTTTATTATGTCATTCTCTTAATATTGATTGCTATCTCATGACACCGGACTCTTTTTGTGCCTGTGCATGCCTTACATTGACTGCTTTATAAAGCATACAGAATGAATTATGGGTGTACACAATACATTTATCAAAGACACTGTTGATCTTGACGACTGATGTTGAGTATCGTTTGAAGGGAATAAATCCCAGTTAAATACAACCTCCTCCGAGTCTGCATGCTCATGAATCAACCTGAGGGTGAACACACATTCACTGGTGGCAATGTTGGAAGGAGATTAAAGGTTGGTATAATTACAGACAACAGTATTTTTATTATTATTTCATAGGAAGTAAATCCTTTCAGCCAAGGGGGATGTCATTAATGTTTACTAGGTATGAGCTAGTACATTAATATCTGTGGCTGTGTTTGAAATCACAAACTAAGTACGTACTGCATATTGCAGAGTTTATACGACTGTATTAGTCACAGTAAGACCGCACTGTGGAGACTGATCACAACATTCCAGCCCGAGCTACAGCTGGATGAAAATACTTTATCACAAATGTAAATCAACATTTCCTCTCACATTGTAATAATCTGCAGAGAGGAGCACTGAAGGCTACTGTTTGTGGTTTGATTAAAAGAAGAATAAAGAATGAAGGTAAATATTAATATCACAGATGGAGCGATATATATATATATATATTTTATATATGGATTTATTTATATATTTTACAGAGAAGCAGAAGAGGAAGCTGCTGAGCTGAGGAGGAAGGTTCTTTTTGTCTCTGGCTGTAAATTATTTTATAAAGTTTACCTAAAAGCAGTTCCTACCTAGACAAATAAATATAGAACAGTAGATAGAAATGTTGCTGCACCTGTGGGACTGTCGGGGGGGGGTCGGAGAGTGGACTGACTGGACTGACTGCCTGGCGAGAAGCTTCTGGAGCTTCTCGACCCCACTTTCTCGGTTCAACATCAATTTTAATAAAACTGCAGATATTTGAAATCCACTCAGTTGATTTCTTGATTCAGATATTCTCAAGTGAAGATTCAAGTGAATTTTGTGATGAAATAATGTGCGGAAGTAGTAAAAATAACATAAAAAACGACCGATATATCCAAAACTCAGCAACTCACACTGAAACAACTAGCACCAAAGTGCAGCCTCACAGAGCTGCTAGTATGGACTCCTGTGTTGTATTCTGGTGATCCCCCTGCTGTCTGATGTCTGATGATGAACCAACATGTGAATCTAATATCTTTACAAACTGTGCTGCTCTGCTTTATTTCCCTGCAGGCCGTTGGGCCGTTGGCATACATTTATCATTCCAGGTAGAAAGCAGACAGGATCAGGAAACAAGCTTCTTGGAGATTCAGGTTAAATATATTGTTTTAACATGAAGCATTGAGGTCGCAGCTATACACCAATCCAACATCAAGAGGCGTCGTCATTACTGTGGTAGTAACTCCGGGTCCGCCACATTGTGCAGTGCTACTGTAGCTAGCTTAATCAATCAATCAATCAATCAAGAGTTGCGATTAATCGTCACAGACCAGTCATATTAGGAAAAACAAACATGATTCAGTCAAACAGATAATATAATATCTGGTATACTATATGGCCAAAAGTATGTAGACAAAAAGTCAACAAAGATGTTCAAAGATTCTCTTGGTATTTCTACACCAAACTCCATTCAGTTTTTATCTAATTTTAATGAAATCTGTGAACACTTTTTTTACCCATTTGCTGAAATTAAAAAGTGTGACAGAGGTGTAATATCCGGTGTGCTATACCGTAGACATTTTGTTAAGATAATATCTCACATTAACAGCAACATTTCACCTGATGCACTGTGTGATATTACTGCACTAGCTAGCTTAATCAGTCGAGAGTTGCATTTACCAATTCACACTATTCTCTGAGGCAGAAGAACAATTGTATGTAACATGTAGAGCCAGGGTATAATATTCAATATGATCTGAAAGGCCACAAAGAAATAGTAAATACTGAATGAAATCTTATTTACAGTATTACTAGAAAAAGCCTTTTATAACCTTTAAAATACAAATGATCTCAGCTGGCAGAAAATGCTTTTATTTTCTTAAATGTTAGTGTGCTCCAGGTCAGTTTTTTTTTTTTTTTGGTAACATGACAGCAGGAAATTAAGAGAGAAAAAGAAGGAGACATAACAACGGCTTCGTTCCTTAAAGCCTGTTTCTAGGACGAGAGCGCGGGTTGTCACGGCAACCGTCGGCAAGGGAGTGAGGGGCAGCTAGGGATGCTGGGACGGGACAGAGAGAGAGAGAGAG